TTATTCAACAGATCACTGGTGCAGCCCGACAATCTGAGTGCATGTTGCCTTTGTGATACCGTTAACGCTGCCCTGTTTTGACGGGTACAGGGGCTCTGGTGGTGTGGTTCACAGCATGCTGTGCTGCTAAACCAAAGGCTGCATATTCATGGCCTTTTCGTTCCGATCCACCAGCAGCTTCTTGGGAGAAATGTGGGCAGAATCCTCCCAGTCAGATTCACAGGTTCAGAAACTCGATAGAGAACTGCTATAGGTTGGTCTGTGTTTTGTGTTTTTGTTTTGTTTTATAAATAATGAGAAACCCTGGTGGTTAAGCCTCTGGCTTCTAACTGAAAGGTCAGGAGTTCAAATCCACCAGATATTGCACAGGAGATAGATGAGGCAATCTGCTTCTGTACAACTGACAGCCTCGGAAGCCCTGTGGGGCATTAGTTCTCCTCAGTCCTCTGGAATCGCCGAGTCAGAAGGCACTCGGTGGCAGGGGCCCCACTGAATTGTAACCTCCTTTCCTTCCCCGCATGCTCAGCATCTGGGGGGCAAACGTGGCGGTAGCACCCACCCTCTCCACAAATCCCAGGACTCATTTGGGGAAGTACTTTTCTAATCAAAGCCTTTGGAGAAAATGCCACCTATTCTTTGAGCTTATTTGCTGCTCATTCATTTCTTGACCTTGCCCGATTTCCCCCCAAAGACACTCTAATCCTGCAGGAAGGGAGACCCCCACTCAATAGTCCAACTTCACCATCCTTTCTCATTCTTTCCCCTTCATTAACCACTTCTTTAAATGATCCAGGTACTCAGAGAATAGCACATCTTTTACAAAGTATTTATTTCAAACATTTACAATTTCACTTTAAATGAAAAATAGCTGGTAAAAAGAGGAAACATTGAAAAACATTGTACTGACCCTTTGCCCCACATACAGACATCAGCTTTTGGTATTTGTACTCAGGTAATTAGGTAATCTCTCTCTCTCTCTCTCTCTCACCCACACACACACACACACACACACACACAACTCTAAAAACTATTATTTTTTTTTTCTCTCAGAAAGAAAAGGCAATGTATAGTTGAGGTATTCTATTTAACAGATGTGCGATCTCCATCCAAATAAAGTCTCTTTCTTAATTAACAGCCTTGCTACATGCTGTTCCAATCCTTTCCTCCAAAAGCAGATCTTAGCTTGAGCATATGTTCATAAAACTGACAATGTTCCCTAATAATCATTAAGGTTGCCATAGAAACCCCCTGGCGCTGGCGCCCAGCCACACCGAGGACACGAGGATGGAAGGACCTTTAGGGGACGCTCAGGAGCGTCTGGCCCAGAACTGGAGCCAACTGGCCGCTCTGCCAGCAAACGCCCCACCGCTGACAGCTGCACAGGAGAGCTGGTGCTGTGCTCTTGCTCCAACAGATCACAGGGTGTCTTTGCTTCTCCAAATTAGGACAAATTTCTCATCAACTGCACCTTGCAGCTGGGTGTTGGAATCCTCCCTAACTGGCTCAACCTTCAACTGGCTCAACCTTCAGCAGGGCCTGCGATGAGCAGATAAAGCTTAACACCGAAGTGTCCAGGCAAAACAAGGCATTCTCAAAGATTCTTCAGGAAACCCACACGCAGAAACCACTCCCCCTCTGCCCTCTGAGCTCTGTTGTCCACCAGGCGGCTCCCATGGCGGTTCTGCCGCCAGAGCACAGCGCAGTGATGACATCCTTTCCCCCAGGACAGCAGGACCATGGGGGAGCTTTGCAAACCAACCTCAAGGTCACGATTGTTAGAACTATTTCGTTAATCCTATAAGAATTAACAGTCACTTCAATTTAGACCTCGAGCCAGCATCTTTTTAACTTGGCCCACCCAGCAGGATAAGCTGTCGTGCTTAACATAAGCTGTCTCTGTCCTAACATTTTACATCTGGCAGGGGCGTGGGGGGACTGCTACAGATGAGGGGCTTCCCTGCTGAGGACGGAAGGCAGTGGTTTGCTGCAGAAACACAGGTAGAATTGACCTGAGGATTAAACATGTGTCGTCACCACAAATTGAAGGACGGAGAAAGCTTGGAGTACAGAACTGTGTACGCAGAGCAAGGCCTACAACCCAGAAAAGACCCCTTTCCTTCATTTACACTAGCTTATAAAATAATAAAAGGGAGGGACCCTCTTCAATTTAAAAAAGAAAAAAAAGGCAGTTCCGTTACAATAATAATGAAAGTAGTAACAATTTGGAGATCAAAGCTGCCCTTGTTCGGCAACCAGCTATCTGGATTTCACATCTCCGAGCTAACACTGGCTCTGGAGATACACGTGTGAGCAAAACCTTGTCAAGAAAGAACTGTGGGCACAGAATCACCCTTGTCATGCAAATTCTCACTTGAGATATTTCCCTTTAACAGCATTTTTTTTCCCCTGTTTTGAGTCTATGGCAGTTTATAGATTAAGAAATCATTCTCTTCTTAAAATTAACACCTGCTTTCCTACCCCCAAGGCTGGACTTGGCCAATTCAGGATTAGTTGCCTATATGAGCACCACCTGAACCCGTCGTCAGTGAGCTGATTCTGGCTTCTGACGGCCCGGCAGGACTGTGAAGGGCTTCATCCTTCTCCTGCAGAGCAGCTGGTGGCTTTGAACTACTGACCTTTCAGGTAACAGCTGAATGCTTAACTACTGTGTCACCAGAGCTCCTTAAAGGTTCTCAAATTTACAGACAAGGTCAGCAGTGGAAATGATCACTTACCCAGGAGAGTAACAGACCAAATCTCGCCAACAGTAAAGAAAACACTGTCCTTCTCCTTCCTTTTGTTACCTATCTGGTAGCAGCGGCTGTTTTTCTAAAAGGATGGATGACTAGAAATTTTTGTGGTCTAGTAACTTTCTGGTCCGTGGTTAGGTGACTGATTTTAATCACAGCTTCACTTTGGGATACCCCATTCGACTTGAGGGTACCTCTCTGGGTAACCACTGACATGGCTGAATTCTCGGAGCCCAGACAGCAATGAGCTCATGTGTCACCACTAGATACCAGATCGGTGCTGCCGTAGCCACCAAACTGAGTCACATTCCAGGAAAAAAGAAAAAGAGAAAAGGCACCAAAGTGAAGGATTTTTCAATGAACCTACTCTGGGTAACAGAATCTCTGGCTGGTGCAAATGGTTAATGCACTTGGCTGCTAAGTCATGAAAGGTGAGTGGCTTATATCTTGGCACCTAGGAAGAAAGGCCTGGCAATCTATTTCTGGCGGGGGATAGGGGGAGCTGTGGAAAACTGTGGAGCACAGTTCTACCCTGACATGGGATCACCACAAGCTGGGATCAGCTTGATGGCAAGTGGTAAACGTAATCTCTGGTAACAGAGGGCTCGTGGTTTTCAGGGGTGGGGATTTTCTACTGACCCTTCCTAGTAATCGTGGGAGGTCTGCTTCCCAGCCATGCCGAGCCTGACACCACTTCCTTCACAGCCGCCTTCAGGAGTAGGAACAAGCTGTTTTTCCCCTAAAATTAGAGAAGAGGGAGGCTAATTTTTTTTTCACTTTTTGAAAGAAAAACAGAATACAGAATGAAACTGGAATCTCTTCTCTAATAGGGGAAAATATATTTTCTCCTCCTCCTCTGTCACTTGACTCAGTTTTGTGCTAAACAAAATCTTTGTGCCTTTTCACTAAGTTATTTATATACTGACACTCGGCTAATACTGGAACTTACAGCCTCTCAAGATAATATAATCAGCACTGTTTTGAGTTGTCTTGGCTTTCTCTTTTTTTAAGAAAAACCCCAACAACCCACCAAATCAAAATATATGCTTTGCTGAATTCTTTTTTGGCGTTTTGTTCTCTTTCTTTTCACATCCCTAATTCACATAAATATTATCTTCCCTAGTTACGCAGGTTCAGTTTAAACAAAATAAACAAAGCTAGGCTAAAAGAGTTTTGATTTCACCAAGGGCAGAAACCCTCCCAATGCCAACTCTCTGCCAGGAGGCGGTGGGCTGTCGAGGGATGGAGAGTACTGGTCTCCAGAGGCTGCCACTCCCCCCCACACACACCCCGAGTTCTATTACAAGACTGCAGAAACTGTGCCTCCCACTCTCTCTTACTCTCAGCTTCCCTTCTGAAGTCCAGGGATCCAAAGAGGAAAATCAAGCCAAGTACAGTTGCTTCTGCATTTGGCCAGTGCCTAAAAGCACCATTCACATTTTGTAAAACGCTAAAAAGAACCAAGGACCATTGCATTTAAAACCACCAAGTACTGAGATACTGTATCCTGCACCTGGGCTGCTTTCCCCCAGGTGTGAGGAAGAAAGGCACATGGCAAGAGAGCTTTCCCTCAGCCTCTAGGCTGAAGTGAGAGCCCTCCTTAGGCCTATTCTTCACAGTGAACTCCGAAGGCACTTGGGTTTCAAGATTTTTAGCCAGATGAAAACCAGAGATGGACACAGGAGAAGGAGGGAGTTTTAGGGCTAGAAGTCCACTCCACTTATCTGAGGGACGAGAGAGATGCAGCTTGTGAACAAGACGTGGTGGTGTAGCCAAAGCTTCTCTATGCCAAGGCCAGACGGCCTAAGCCCCCCTCAGTGGCCTGGCTCTGCTCACTGGAGTCAGGAGAAATTTTGAAGCCTGTCTCTTTAGGATAGGCCTGAGTTCACTCTAACCCTGTGAGGCAGGGCATTTGGATAAGGGTGGGGTCGAAACTTAACCACCTCCTTCTGGACAGATGCAACAAATATAT